CGTTTCGTCTCAAAAGCTCCTCAGTCCAGCTTCGTTATCGTGAACCGCAGAAAGCCTGCATCCACGTCTCGACCAGCGTGCCAAGAGCCTCGGCGATGGTGAGCCGCATCACGTTCCCATTTGCATAGCATTTAAGCAAGATAGCGCAGCAGGGCCCATCATGGGTCGCAAGAGACATGCCATTTCCTCCCTAGATTCTAAGCACGATGTGGATAAGCCCTGCCGAACGATGGCCCTTCTCCATTCACCAGAAAAAAGAAATGCTTGTCTACCATTCTGAATATGTGATTCCGTGCAAAAATTGAGACAAATATCAATGCACACACCTGAACGAATGCTGAAACTGTCGTGTTTTCGTTCCTAGGCAATTCGGATAGTTCAGAACGCTCGCCACGTAGTCCTCAGCACCGAACATCTGTAAAGAAAAAGCTTAATGTATTGGTATGACGATAACAATCCAACCCTTGCTTTCGATATTACTCAGCAATCACTCGAGTTGCTGAAATTGTACCTTATATCCAGCTTTCTTGTACATGAGTGGTACGTAGGATTCATTATCGAGATAACGTCTGCAGTACTGGTCGTATGTCAAATCAGCTGGTATTGTGGGCAAATTCAGTTGGCTTTCTTGCTATCGGTTCCGTGGTTTTTCCTAGGCTAGATGCAATTATTTGGCTGAAATGGTCAGTGGTTTGGTGGCATAGAAATGTTGCGAGATGGTCGCTAGTCCCTTTGTGCACTTGCAAACTACTTCTTCTTACAAATAATTTCACGAAATTTCGAGAATCCGTTTTGTAGAGGGGTAGCTTTAGTAGCTTTCCCATCCACTCGTTAATCTTCAGCTTTCTCCTGCCGTTCTTATGCAACACGAATTCAACTCCAAGAGCCATTACGGGTTCTGCTCTATGGAGTTGAACGTGCATTCGGTGCAGGTAGTTCATTCCATACCCATATAACGCGTCCTACATAGATTGGAAAAGTTTTCATTGGACCTCGGCAGCTCCCTAGTAGCCGAAGCCTGTCATACCTGCGCTTTGGCCCTATTTCTTGACATATATTCAAGGCAAACATGGTGCAAGAGACCAGCAAAGTTTTCAAATTACTGCAGTGTGAAATCGGACAGAAATATGTAACCTTCTTGAGTTTTTGGAGATTTAAGGAACATGTTGCTCACCATCAATGACAAGTCTATTTCTATTTATTTACTATAATAACACTCACCAACCAATGCCGCAAACGCATTCGGCCTGCTATTAGATCCAACCTTGTTGAACTTGCGGAATTCTATGGCTTCCATTCCATGCAGGAGAAAATTCACCGTTCTCGGTAGACCCCTGGAAAGTGGCCGGTACCATGGAGGCCATTCCATGTTGGTCAAAAATTCAATGACCTTATTAATTGCGTTGATGCCACGGAGTCAATCACCATCAAAACCACATCGGGATTTCTCTGCGGGTCGAGTTTTTTATCCGTTGGTGAC